CCAGCTGGACTCAGTTTAGATGATCCCAGTTTTGTTGGCAACATCCAGAGCATCATAATCAGACACCAACCAAACGTATGCCTTCTTCTCTCCGTCAGGCCTTATGAGGGGCGTTGACTTTGACCACATCAATGTCATAGAGCTTCTTCACAGCCTGTTTGATCTGGTGCTTGTTGGCCTTGACGTCCACAGTGAACACAAGTGTGTTGTTGTCTTCTGTCTTCTTCATGGCTGACTCAGTGGTCAGGGGGAATTTGATGATGGTATGGTGATCAAGCTTGTTTCTCCTGGGCGCGCTCTTTCGAGGGTATTTGGGCTGTCTCTGGAGCGGCAGGGTCTTGGGCTGCTGGAAGGTGGGTGACGTGCAGATCTTCTTTTTGTGGCTGTGGATGCCTTTCAGCACTGCCTTCTTGGCTTTCAAGGCCTTCACTTTGGCTTCGGCTTTAGGAGGGGCAGGAGCTTCCTTCTTCGCTTTTGGTGCCACCTTGGCAAAAAGCGAGATGGGGATATTTTAAAAGACACTAGTGTCTTTCACTCTTCAATAGTCCCTATTAGACTATTGAAACAATGGTCACCCCAACATTGGAATTCCCCGAAGGTATCTCACGGTGGGTGAAGGAAAAGGCTAAAACCCAGCATCAGCTGGAGGTTACATTTGTCTCCCAAGTAGTGCCTCCCACAAATGCTGACGGTTTGCTAGATTGCCCTTCTGAAGACACTAGAGCCCAGACAATGACAGGTCAGCAGTGGGTTGGACAATGCCTTGATCATGACACGCTTAGACATGTAGATCCCTGGCCCTCTACTTAAATGTTAAAGATCTTTTAAACTTTTTTATTTATATGTATGTGTGCCTCTGTGTGCCCACAGCAGCCATAAAAGGGCATCAGACCCCCTGCAACTGGAATCACAGATGGTTGTTGCTCTGATGGAAGGTTCAGCCCAGCCCCTGGCATCCATATACCCAAAGAGTCTGAGATGTTCTGGTGGAAGTTTCACCCAATCAATCCCCCATCCCCTATCGCACTCCAAACCCTGGGCATCTCAGAAAGCCTGCCAAATGATGACCTCTCCCCCAGAGATGCTCAAGATCACTCCCACAGAGTATTTAAACTGCTCTCCCCACCCCCAGAAAACATACCTGTGGTTTTCCAGTCTCTCTTTTTCATCTCCTCTCTGGGAGGCTGGAAAATCATCCTGGAATGTTGTATCCATTAAACCTGGGCTTTTTCAAATTCGGTTTGATTTGGTCTGATTTGGATTGCTGCGTCAGTGGAGAGGCTTATAGGGTGTAGAAACTTCAGTTGTGAACCACCATGTGGGTGCTGGGAACTGAACTCAGGTCCTCTGCAAGGGCATCAAGCTTTCTTATCCACTGAGTCATCTCTCCAGCCTGGTACTTAAATTTCAGGCCCCTGAAGATGGACTTGAGAAGACCACTGTATCTCTTTGTCCCTCTTCCCAATGTGGCCACATTGACTAACTCTCCTTTTTCTGCTCTTTGCTATTAGATGGTTGTTTTAATTGGCTTCTTGAGTTTGGGTGGCTCAGCCTGGCTTCTCAGACTATGACCCAAAATTCAGCAACAATAACATCACAAAGAATCAAAGGCCTGGATCCTTGAGACTATGGAAGACGATGTACCTGCCAGTGATGGGAGGATGGTGTGTAAACAGCCAGCTGCTGAGACTGGGAGAGCAGGACACAGTCCAGGGGTGTGAGCATGGTTATGGTTACTTACGACTTCTGTAACTGCCAGAAGCTTGTTCATTCTACACCACAGGACCCTTGAAGACGATGAGTGGCCCTGCTTCATTAGTGGGGAGCTTGGTGAGGTCTGGAAGTCAGGGAATGGAAGCACTGAAGAGCTAGCAGCAGCTAAGGAGCCCAGGGCAACCCTGACCACACCGGGCCACTGTGCAGCCCAGCCCTGCCTGGCAGCCTTCCGCTGGGTGTGAATCCACCGGGCAGATAAACACATCCAGGAAGAGAATGACCCACGCATAGCTGAGGAAAGTGCAGGTGTCTGTGTTGTTTTAAACCCGACCCAGGTTCAAGTCCAGATGCCAATGTTATTCCTGAAGGCTGCTGGCCCAGCCCTTAAGTTGCTGCGGAGAGATGTGATTGCAGTCCTGACAGCCAAAGCCACAGGGGTGACTCTTTAAAGTCACAAGGCACCTGCAAGGCCTGTCCTGACTAATGCCGGACGCCCAACATCAATAGCAAATGACACCATGGAAACAGAAACCACGCAAACAGGGACTGGGCAGCGATGACCAGGAGCAAGCTCACGGAGGTGTGGTTTGATAGGATCATTTGGAAAGCAATCGTCTGACTCTGCCATCTTACTTCTGTGGGTGTAGACGAAATAAATCAGTATCTGGAAGAGAGGCTATGCTTCCGGCATGGCTCTGCTCTGCAAGATCTCATGACACGAAAAGAATCTAAGTGCCCACCAACAGGGGCAGGCTAAGCAAGCGCGTCACCAATACAGTTCCCTATGTGAGGAGATGGATGCGTTAGTCAGCTGGATTGTCGCCACCATTTGACAATGGCTACCTTGGGTCAGCAAGACAGCTTGGAGGGTAAAGCAGCTTGCCGCCAAGCCTGACAACCTGAGTTTGATCCCCAGAACCTATGTAAAGGTGGAAGGGGAAAATGGATCCCCAAATTTGTCCTTTGACCTCTATTCATGCCCTATCACATAATAGGAGGAGGAGTAATAATAATTCAACAACAGCGAAAACATCCATATCACACTGTGCATCTTAAATACATACACATCTCAATAGCCGGTGGTTAAAGTCTGGGGTGATGGCTCAGCCAGTAAAGTGTTTGCTTTGCAATCATGAGGACCTGAGTTCTATTCCCAGCACCCATATAAAGAGCAGCCTTGCCTGTAGTCTCAGTCTGGGGAGTTGGAAGCAGGAGCACATATGTAAGGCTCACTGGTCAGAAAATCTAGCCAATCAGTATGGGTTCAAAGAGAGACCCTGTCTCAAAGAATAAAGTGGAGAGCAATCAAGGAAGACACCCAATGTTGCCCTGTGGCTTCTACCTGAGTACACACAGTCTTGTACACAATGACATGTGCACACAAGGTGACACATGAGGCCAGGCAGGGGTGGAGGCACACGCTTGAATCCCTGCGTTGAGGAGGCAGAGAGACATCCTGGGGCTCCCAGGAAGCAGGTAGGTTCTGACCAGTGAGAGAACCTGTCTCAAAAATCAAGTTGAGAAACAGGGAGATGATGGTTCAACAGGTGTTTGACACAAAGCCCGGAGACCTGAGTTGGAGCCCCTGGACTCCTGTGAGGGAAGGACAGACTGACTCCTGCAGTGTCATTATAACACAGCTGTGCTGGCTTTTCCTAGAGAACGGCCAAATACGCATCATCAGCCCCTCAAGTCAAGTCTGATCAAATGCTGCCTGCTCTGCTTGCCCCATTTAAAAGGAGAGACAGAGAGAGAAGGATGAAGCAAGAAAGCTATTCCAGGAGAGACTTGAGTACCTTCTGGCCCTCCCCCTGATTTGCTGCGTGACAGTGGGTCTATCAATACCCTCTCTGTGTTCATTTTCTCCATGTACAAAATGAAAGCCGTGTGTTGCCTGAGGGCTCCCTCCTGCTGTTAGACAGACACTCCTAATCACATGACCAGCCTGAGACACTGGGCTTAGTTTGGGTCTACTGTGAACCAGGTCATGTAGAGCATATGGCTGGGTCAAATCCTCCAGAGGACAGGAAGTGACCCTGATCCTAGCTCCTGTTTGGGGATTGCTGCACCTGGGAGCCTTTCTTGGCCTCTCGGGGCCCCAGTGGCCTCCTCCCAGCTCTGGGGATGCTGGCAAAGAGGCCATGTGTTCACATCTGTCTGATGCTGCAGCCAACTCATCTCTCCTGAGGCAAAGTCTTTCATTCAAAGCCAAATGAGAAGATGAAAACCCCAGTTCCCCTCCCCCAACCCTGCACCCGCTGCAGCTCCTGGGACACACTTTCTCTGGGCGCTCCCTGTTGAAACTTGTCCACCCCCCACTATCCTACCCCCCTCCATTTACCTCATTAGCAGACAGACTTGGTACCAGGTGCTGTGCCCTCGTGAGAGCCTCCGGCCAGCGCAGCCCACACCTGTACCATCTGGTCTCACGGAGGAGGCCCCCTAGAGGCAGACACCCAGGGTATATAGCAAACTTCACTTCTAAGTCAGGCAACTGGGTTTCCCCTCCCAGCCCTGCCACAGACAATCCATGGCCCCCAGGACAAGTGCCTTTTCCCTCCCTGTGCCTCGGTTTTCCCGTCTATAAAATGGACTAGTAGTCACCTGCCCTTGGATGCCTGGTGTTACAGTGAGAAGCCACTGTGTTATGGTCTGAAAAGATCACGTCACCTGGGCAGGCTGCTAATAAAGGCCCTACCCTGTGGTGACGCCTCTGTTCAAATCCTAGCTGACCGTGAAGCCTCCCTGTGCCTCAGTTTCTCCCTCCAGATAGTGGATGTGATAATGAGTGCTGACCTCAGAGCTGCTTCCAGGATGAGATGGGGGAGGGGACGGTAACACTGCATGCTTCCTAGGCTCTCCTGAGAGCATTCCTGTAACAGCAGAGAGCCAGTCCGCATGAGAAGACCCTGGGTGACTCAGCCACACCCAGCATGACCCTTAGCGTCCCCCTCCCCTGCTCTCCTTCTTTCCAATGTCCTGTTACGTGGGCTTCTGTGCTTCGGCAAGACCATCCAGTCCTGGCCCAGGCAGGGGTGGTGAAGAGCACGGGCTATGCTCTCCCCTCCCAGGCTTCAGGGCGCTTGACTCTTCTGTTGCCAAGCCCACCATGGACACCCATCTGGGGGTCCTGATGTCCCAGGGTAGAGGAGGCTCTGTAGCCCACTGAGGCACCTGAGTGGCAAGGGGCTGGGCCTCTGGGGCAGGGCAGGTGCTGACTCATCTTCTCATCTGGTAATATAAAGGAACCAGCCCAGGGGCCTCCTGCTGCCTGCTGCCAGAGGATGGCCCAGGGCACGGTGATCCACGTGGCCCCTGAGCAGCCCACCCATGCTGTGTGTGTGGTGGGCACCGAGACCCCGCTGGATGTCTGTGGGTGAGAGGGAAAGCTCCTGAGCCTGTGGGGGTGGGGCGGGGTGGGCAATGCCAGCAGGGGCAGGGTGCTGCTGGGCCGGGCTCAGGCTCTGGGCAAGAGATCTGCTAGGGAGATAAGCCTGGAGGTGCAGGACCCACCACAGCCAGTTCTCTGTGAGGTATAAATACCTCTGCTGCCAGGCTCTGCTGTAGGCTAATGGGCTAGAGCAACTAAGCCGCAGTTTCCCTACCGGGTGAAATGACTCTGAAGATTAAGTGTGACAATTGCAAACATGTTTGTTTGTTAAGTTCTCCACGGTGCTGTATGTTAGGTAATCCACAGTGCAGTTTTTTAGATACTCTGCACAGTGCCAGGCAGATCCCCAACAGTTATTTATTTGTTCATTCTTCCATTCCCTTGTTCATTCATCAAATATAGGCTGAGACCTTTGCCAGGTTCTAGGTCAGTGGAGGACGCTCAGGGTAGAGTCTGGTGTTGCCTTTCATGTGGGAATTACTGTAGCTGACCCCACAGAACTGTAGTCCCAGTGATGTCCATAAAAGTCTCTGGGAATTGCCCACGGTCAGAAGCTGGTTCACACCAGCAGCAGGAAAACACTCAGGGTCTCAGGGGTCCCCAGAACACTGGTGAGAGGCTTGGTGTCATCAGAGAATGAGTTGCTTGAGTGTGGGTGCAGAGATGACAGGGGCCAGAGCTAGCCCAGTGTCATTGCCAGGATCCTAGGTTAGTCCTCCCTTGGTCAAGGTCATGGTGGTTCTTTTGCACATGTCTGCAGGTGTATACATGGTTGTAGATTCAGGTGTGTGGGGGAGTGTGTGGAGGCCAGGACAAACTCGGGTGCATTCCTCAGGCTCTGTGTTCAGAGGTTAGAGAGGACAATTTGTGAGAGTCGGTTCTTTCCTTTCATCTCGTGAGTTCTGGGAATGGAATTCACCTCATCAGGCTTGTTAGCAAACGCCTTCACCCATTGAACTATCTGGCTAATCCTAATTTCCGTTTTCCAATGGGGAGATCAGAACAGTGACATTTGATTAGACAGGAGTGTTGATGACAATGTGGACGTTTGTCTGTCCCCTGGCAAGAGTCAATATAGTTAGTGCAAAGGACCTGAGGCATGGGCATGTCCAGTCAGTAGGAAGAGGAGCAAGAAGACAAGAATGGGAGGGGTGCCCTGGGCAGGGGCAGCGTCCTGTATAGCTTGGGTGGGGCATTGGAAGGACTTCTGCTCTTTTCAAGGCTTGGTTTGCCATGGACTGCCATGCAGGTGTGTTGGGCAATGGAATACCATGTGTGGTCTTGGTTAAACCTAAATACTGGTTGCCATGTGAGAAAGGGCTACAGGGGACAAGAGAGGAGGCAGGAGATGTCAGGGTCAGGTCATGTGATGGCCATGAAGAGTGACGTGCTGGCTGGTGTCTTTGCTTCCCGAGCATGGGGATTTACCTTTTTTTTTTTTTTTTTTTTTTTTTTTTGGGTTTTTTTTGTTTTTTTTTTTTTCTGTAGCTTTCTCAGATGCTGTAGACCAGGCTGGCTTTGAACTCAAAGAGATCTGTCTGCCTGCCCTACCTCCCAAGTGCTGGGATTAAAGGTGTATGCCACTATGTCCAGCTACCACGCTTAGCTTTTATGCATGGGTTCTGGAGATCAAACTCAGATCCTTGTGTTTTTTACTTGACTAGATCTGCTGGATGGATGGATAGATAGATAGATAGATAGATAGATAGATAGATAGATAGATAGACAGACAGATGTTTAACTGCTCCTAGCAGGCTGTGCTATCAGAGCCAACCCTTAGCCCAGGCTGCTGAGTCAGGGTCCCCAGGGCTAGTGATAACACCCTGCTTCCTGACCCCAGCAGCATGGCAGCCAGGTGAGGACGCCCTCTCACTTGTGTTGAGGGGATAAACAGAGGCACAAGTGGTTTGAGATGAGTGGTGTTGAATTGTGTCCCTTTTGGGGCCCACCAGCCTATGCTGGGAGTGAGTGCTATGGATTAGGTGAATAATTACTGTGTGTGGGGTGTGTGTGTGTGTGCACGAGTGTACTCAAGTGCATTTGAGTACACATTGTGGTGTTCTGTTTTGCTGACCAAGTAAAAGAAAGTTGAGCACAAAAGGGGGTCTCATTAACGCTCAGTCACCTGGGAATTTTTTTTTGCAGAAAGAGGAGGAAAGACAGAAAGACAGACAGAAAGGAAGGAAGGAAGGAAGGAAGGAAGGAGAAGGAAGGAAGAAAGAAAATGCACTACAAAAAATAAAACCCTTGGCTGTTCATCCCCCTCTCACCAGACAGGTCCCCACGTCTTTTCCCAGCCTTTTCCCACAATCCTCCAGAAAAGTCTCTCTTTGCTTTCTTTGCTCATATAGCTTTGACCCTGGAGTATAGTGTGGATTCAAAAGGTGGGGATGAGGAAAAGAGAAAGGAGAGAGAATGTTCCAGAAATCAGGCTCCTCCAATCTTGCCCTGTGACCTTGTCCAAGAGAAGCTTCCTCCTTCACTGACCTCACTGTGACGGTCTCTGTCACTCCCTCCCTCCACAACCCACACTGGCTCCCCATTGCCCATGTGCTTGTCCTGACTACTGCTGACCCAAGCCGGCAACTGCTCCCTGCCCCCAGCTTCATCACCTCAGAGTCGCTTGAGAAAGAAACCTGGGCGTTGCTCTTCATCCTGTCCAGCAGGTTCTGTTGACTTTGAAATTAAACAATCGCCTCATAAAATAATAATAATAGTAATAATAATAATAACAACAACAGGTTTTCTCAGCCACCAGCTTCATTTGTGCCTGGTTGAGCCTAGGTTCCAGGTCCCTCAGCTTCCACTCAGTTGGGTAACTCAGCAGCTGCCTTTCAGTAGCTTCCTGGGTGTGGTTCTCATGCCTGAGGGTGCACAGAGCACCCTGGGGACAGGAGGAAGCTCAGATCACTGGGTTCCAAGTCTGCAGCAACAGGTCTGAGGACCAAGCCTGGGAACCTGTCTTCCTGTTTCCAGGGGAGGCTGAGGCAGCTGCTCCTGTGCCTAGGACCACGCCTTGCCTGTGGCAGGTGGCTGAAGAATGCCGATAGGGAAAGTGTATCCCTGGAGATGGTCCTTAGCTCATCTGACCTGGACCTGCAGTGGGTGGTTCTTCAATGACAGGGTCATTGAAGATGAGAAGACAAAGATAGGGAAGTTGAGACCAGATCTTGCCTAAGCTGATGGCTTGCACCAAGAGTTTATGGAGAACTAGAGCACCCTCTAATCAGTTTACTGAAAGGAGGGGCAGAGACAGCAGAAAGCTATCACACAACGCTACAAAGTCAGCAGGAAGCTAGCCAAGCAGTGTTGCACAAAGGGAACACATGGTGTCTCAAGAGCATCACGACTGAGCACACAGTAGCCCTGGATGGACAACCCCAGTCTCTTCCCCAGAAAAGAATCAGATGCCCAGGAACTGAAACCTTAACTCCTTCAAGGCCCAGATGGACCTTCTTGCCAAGTCCACCCCAAGCAAGGACCAAGAACTGAAGTTCCCTTTGTCCTTTTGTCAGGACCGCTGAGCTTGACCCCCAACAACTTTTATAAATTTTATTTTGAGAATTTCATACATACACGAGTACCATACTGACCTCATTCCTCCCCTCCCTCTCTGGTCTCCAATGCTACTCCTGTCCCCTCAGCTACTCCCTCTCAAACTCATGTTGTTTGTAAGAGGATGAGCCTCAAGAATGTCTACCTGCTCTGCCTCCCTGTGTGATGGTGCACGCCTTTAATCCCAGTACTCAGGAGGCAGAGGCAAGAAGATCTCTATGAGTCCCAGGCCAGCCTTGTCTACAGAGTGAGTTCCATGATAGCCAGGATTATATAGTGAGACCTTGTCTCAAAAAAAAAAAAAAAAAAAAAAAAAAAAAAAAAAAAGATTATTTGTCCTGTCACAACTTCCGAAATCTGTGTGGTTTTGTTTTGGCTGTGGTTGTGGGGTTTTTGTTGTGGGATATATTTTGAGCCCTGTCTCCAGCCCCCTGTGTGCGATTCTTTATATGCACACAGCTCTTGGCATGTCCACTGTTGAAGGTCCCCTGTGTGCACACTGCTCCATGGGTGTGCAGGAGGTACCTTTGTTACACACCTCCTGCTGCTGTCTCTCTAGTTCAAGTGTAAGGCCTCCAGTCTGAGGATTCCCATTCTATTTTCTCATTCCTTTCTGGCAATCATACCATATTTACTGTCTGGCCAGAGCAAGCCCATTGGTGGCCTGTGTTTCTTCCTGCCGGGGAAAGGGGGACGGCTGGGACCAGTGTGGTGGTGGGCCAGGCCCTCTCACCACCAGTGCCTCTGCTGGCCCCTGTCTCACTCCACAGCTCTGCCCCTAAGGGCTGCACGTCCTTTGGCATCACAGCCTCGCCAGGAGTGGTTGTACATGTTGCTCACAGTCCTCCAGCCAAGAAGAACACCACTGGTGCCTCCAAATGGCCTCTGGACCCAGAGCTGGAGGTGA